ATATATATGTATGTATGTATATGTATGAGGAGAGATTTGTTTACTCTAGGAATAAATTTACCTAAACTTGTTTCATTCAATAACTCATTTTATGTTAAATTTCAACAATCTAACCGTTAATTTTAAAGTTCTTAATATATAAATTAAATTTGTAAATTTTTAAACCACTAGGGTTAGCTTAGTGGTTGGGTGGGGAGGAGTTGGGAGTAGTTAGAAGCATGAGGACCTAGGTTCAATCATCATTGCGACCATCTTTGTAATCTTTTTTATCTTTACAAAAAAAAATTTTACAAATTTTTAAAAATTTTAAAGATTGTTTGATACTTCGTTTCAATAATTCAAATTGTATAAAATGCTTTTATAATTATCTGTCAATTTGAATTAATGAAACAAATCATCAAATAATTTTAAAATTTTTTTAAAAATTTACAGACTTGATCTATACGTTAAAAATTTTAAATTTAATAGTTGAAAATTTAAAATTTGATGTAATATAAATTATTGAACAAACACCTAGAATAACCGGATTCCTTCCTCATATATGATATCACCAAACAATAGATGAATGTCTCAACTTGTATATATGTAACAGGATCTAATTGTTGCTGGAACTGATACAACTTCTTATACAATAAAATGTGCAATGGCTGAGCTAATCAATAACCCTAATGCAATGTCAAAAGCCAAAAGGGAGCTTGAGCAAAGCATTGGAATAGGCAATCCAATCGAAGAATCAGACGTTACAAGACTCCCATATTTGTGTGCAATAATAAAAGAGACATTACGCTTGCACCCTGCGGCCCCACTTTTGCTACCACGAAAAGGCAACATAGATGTGGAGATCAATGGCTACACTATTCCACAAGGTGCACAAATTTTCATTAATGTATGGGCTATTGGAAGGGACCCTAGCATATGGGATAACCCTAATTCATTTTCACCTGAGAGATTTTTGGGTTCAGAAATTGATGTCAAAGGTCGACATTCTCAATTAACACCGTTTGGTGGTGGGCGACGAATTTGCCCCGGGTTGCCACTTGCTATGAGGATGTTGCATTTGATGTTGGGATCGTTGATCAATGGTTTTGATTGGAAATTTGAGAATGATGTGAATCCAGATATCGACATGGGTCAACCCTTAAGAGCTATTCCATTTAGAATAAACAAATAACATGTACAATGATAAGTGTGGCTACTAGTACAATATATAGAAGGAAGCCTAATTCAATAATATTCATAAGGAAATTGTGAAGCCCAAAGTTTGAGGAAACAACTTATTTGAATGATTGTCTTTTCAAGGCTTTAACTCTTGAAAGTTTTATCTTCTCAATATACAACCTTTAAGTTAATTAAGTGTTTTGACCACGTGATATGTTGATTATAGTATTTGGGGGGTCATGATTGCAACATTAGATGCAATCCTTTTTTATTTTTTTATTTTTAATAGAATTGAGATTTTGGCTTTGCTAAAAAAGACAGTCATCAAGGCACAAGAACCTATGAAGGCTATTGTCTAATTACATATTGAATTTTCTCCCAAGATTTTGGTTTATCTCAAGTTTTGATCATACAAGCAATTATCTATGACTGGTAAGAAATACATCAAGCTTTTTAGGCACTTTTATAAACTCTTCCAGATTCTTGTATGTGTTGACAAAATAACTTATAAATTGAAACTTTCAAACTATGTCTACATTCACCTTTTATTCCATTGTTCTCTTCTAAAGGTTTGCCACCAATAATGTCTCCATCTTTGCCTTGTTTTATTGTTGTTTATCATCAAGTAATCACCCATTTAATCATTTTGGTTTCGAAACCCCAGAGTAGTGGACTAGCCCAAAGGCGTATTGTTTTGATCCAATGAGATGACCTTTCTCCTAAAAATCCACTTGGGAGGATCAGGAAACTCTTAAGCATCAATTCGACCTTGAACACATGGTGTGTTTGAATGTAACCCACAATCCATAGGAATAGTTGTTTTAGTGTTTGGAGCATTGGAACGTGTGAGCGACTGCACTATAGCTTCTCAACGCCATTTCAAACAAAAGATATGGAGAAATTGATAAGTGTGACAAGCAACCCAATATACAAAAGCAAGCCCAATTCAGTAATATTAATCAACTAAAGGTAATTCTGAAGCCCAATTGTAGTTTGAGGAAACCAATCTACTTGGAATTTTGGATAGGATGATTATGTGTTAGGGAATATTGTGTGGGTGTAATCGTGTGTTGTCTGTGACTACAAACTCATAAATGTAGGAAAACTTCAGAATGCAATTGCAACCTTATATGTTATGTTGTGTAATTCACCAATGTAATGAGAATTAACACTTTAATTTATTCCCCATTTTTGTATTACCCTTTCCAAGTGTAGTGTGTGTGACTAACATATAACATATATTTATATATTTGATAGGTACATTTGTACCCACAATTTCTTCTTATTAAATACTTTTAATTTTTATAAAAATTATAAGCATAATTTATTCAATAAAAAATTAAACTATTGAATCATTAATGTTTAATAAATATAAGGAATTATTATACAAAATATTTCTATTAAAAATTATTTCTAGACTTTTTTTAATATGACATGAACGTGATATTTGAGACAATTTTATTGAGTATTTAATATTATAATACTAAAGATTCACTAATTATGTTATAATAATTTTATACGAGTTGTTTCGTACTCAATCACTAGTTATATTAAAATAATATTGTGCTAGTTGATTCATATATTCTATTGTAAAATTACTCCTAAGCTAATTTCATACTATATAGTTGTAAGGTTTTATTTGAATTTAGAAATAGTTAGGACAATTGTGTCAAAAATATTTCTTGTTGAGTTAATTATACACATGGGTTGAATATATTAGCTATGTCGAACCAGGAGTTATTAGAGGGAAAAAAACTCGAACATTCCAATGAAAGTTTTGTATAACATGAATAATGCAAAATATTATGAGTAAAGAGCATTGTTATATTAGTCTTTAGATAAAAAAATAAAAAAATAATGAAATTGTAATTTTTCATGTATAGTAATGTAACACATGTAACTTAAAATGACAATATTATTTGAAACCAAAATAATAATAAATAAATAATTTTAAAAACTTAGATGAAACAAATTAGACACTAAAATAACTATGTATGCAAAAGTTATTTAAGATGGATAATTTTATATGATCCGTTAGATATAGTAAAATATTAAACGGTCAAGATCAATGATTTGATATTTATTAGTGGAGGCAGGAATGACAATGAGGCTCATGGAGCGGGTAGTAAGATATTTATTCCCATTTTATTGAATAAAAATTTGTTTTTTAAATCCGACTTATATTTATGCAAATATTCATTAAGGAAATATTTGTGAATTTTATAAATATCCATAAATATTATAAATATTTATAGATATTTGTAGATTTTCTTTTAAAAATATTAAAATAAATTTAAGCTTGTATATGTTAATTTTAATAAAATATTAAAGATAAACAATTGATATTAATTTTTAAACTTGCATTTAACATTAATTTTATTAAAATATTAAAAATGTTAGATGAATATATAAATATTTAAGTAATCTTACTTAGCATGTACTTGCGAGTATAGATACTGCTATACTTGTCCCACCTTGTTTATTAACGAATAAAAAAAAAAACTCATTTATTATATGTGACTATCCATTTAGGTTATTCAATTATTATGTTATCGATGATAGATTTTATCCAAAAATATCAAGAGATAGAAATTTTATTTTGTCATACCAACATTGGAGAGATTTAGCTATACTTCAACCCCTATCCCATTGAAAATATAAATTTCGTTGATTTGTAGATTGGTCTCCAAGGCGCATGATAGACTCAACCCCTACCCCATTTCGAATCTTTGTGGACTTGGGATGCACAAGATGTGACACCCTCTACCCCACATTCATAATTACACAATAAATAAGAATAATTAAGATCTTTCATAAATAAAACCAAAATCTCAAATATCTTACATAAATGATTCACATTCATAAACTCATAAACTTTATCTCCAATGCAACAATTACAAAGGAAAGAAATTGAGGTTTTCAAAACAGTTCAATAGAAATAACATCCTAAACTAGTCCTAACTACACCTAATGTTAGATATCCTATCAGAGCACGCCCAATTAAAGCCTAAGCTTCATCACCAACATTCTCATGTTGATGGTCATCTACAACACAGTAAAAGACACACATAGAACAAACAGGGGCGCGAGAAACATCTCACTCACGTTAAGGTGTAAAAATAATGGTCAGGCAACACACCCACAAATCATAACAAAGCACAATACAAAGCACAAATTAATCAAGCACAACTTAAGTAATAAATACATTAGTATAAAATACCCAGTCACTCATTATGCAATGATGCCATGGACTCAACTCACAAATGCATGCATGTGGCATCAATCACATGTCACATATCACTGGGTGTGCTCCCTAAACAATACACCTAAGGTAGTCTAGGAGTACATGTAGGGAGTTATCCATACACTCTCAACTAGAAGGATGTACTGCTAGGGTCTGGTCAGGATAACAAAACTGTGCAAGTTACGTCTCGTGTTCACAAACGGGTAGAATCGAAACATCCAATCTGCACTATCTCCTAGGACTCCCCAAGCTATTACACAAGGAGGGTCGTCCCTAATGGTGTACTCCACATCGTTCTCATCACATAGATGCACATGATGCATGTGACACACTCACACTTTATTGACTCGTCATTTCACTTGTCATAGTTACTCATATATCATGTCTCATTGTCACATATATCATCATGTCTCATATTCACTTTTCACATTGTCTCATCATATTCACATAGTCTTATACAAGGAACTTATCATAGGCATATACATCAGAATAACACACAAACCATAACAGGAAATTATTCAACTTCATACACATTCAATTCGCAATTCATAACATACGAAACATAAAGGTCATAAACCCAACTTCATGATTTCACGTATTTTTTTTACAACTAACCAAGTAATATAATATTTCAATAGGTCAAAATACTCGAAATATTACCCAAAACACGAATCCATCATCAATTTTATTTATAGTGTCTCAAAATTCATCCAAAGATCATATCCCTAATTTCTTTCCCATAAGAACCCACAGAGCACTCTAATTTATATCAAAACTTGTCCATTTTTGAAATTAAGCACATATTTACACTCAGTAAACATTAAGGAACACAACAGAAAACTCAGAAGCCAAAATAGAAAACATTCAAAATTTGTCTGTTTCCCATAGGGTTCCCCGTAGGAACCCATAAAGCACTCTAATCCATATCAAAACATATCCAAACTCAAAATTAAACATACATTCATGCTCAGTAGTCATCAAGAAACACAACAGAAAACTCAGACATGAAAACAGAAAATATCTGAAAAGTGCCTATTTCTCAGGGCATTCATTAAGCAAAGGATTAGGGCTAATCTTGCTACCAAACATATCCATTATTGAAATTAAACACATCCATACTTAGAATCACAAAAAGAACGCAACAAAACAATTAGAAAGTAAAACAGAAAACTTTCATAAAATGCTTGTTCTTATAGGAATACATCAGGCAAGGGATTAGGGCCAATCCCACTACCAAACATATTCATTATTGAAATTAAACACACATCCATACTTAGAATCACACAAAGAACATAACAGAACAATCATAAAGCAAAACAAAAAACTTTCATAAAGTGTCTGTTCTTATAGGCATACATCAGGTAAGAGATTGGAGGCAAATCCTATACCCAACAATTATTCCCACATACCCGAGCGAGGTTTCTCAATCCCCCTTACCTGGATGAGTAGAAGATGAAACACGGACAATATTTAGTTGGTCTCCTTCTCTTGGTTCTCCTTGGTCTTCAAAAAGCGTAGAAAGGAAAATAAGTCAGAAGAGTGAATACTTGAAATGACTCTTGGTAACTTCTGATAACTCCCTTCTTAAAATAATAATAATAATAATAATAATAATAATAATTAATCAAATTACCATCATGTCCTTCCTCCCCCTTCCATAAAATAATTAATATAATTAAAGCATATCTCTTCCTTTTAATCAAATAACATAAGCATAATTATTAATAAAAAATATTTCATAAAAGTTACCTATATATCACTAATCAAAA